CTATATTTACTAATAGTAGCAGTGTTCCCAAGTTCAAATCACATAGACCCTATCACTTAAATATTATGTGTACCCATATGAAAAATACTATAGGAGGTTGAATAATCATTTTCCATATTTTAAGGGTGTTCCACTATCACTAATTTGTTTTTTACCCATACACAAACTACTATCGAAGGTTGGATAATCGTTTTTCCAAATTTTAGGGGTGTCCCAGAACACCCCTAAACCTCCATGTATCCGCCCCTGTGAGGAATCTAAGCTACCTTACACTACTCCTATGGATATTCATAGAGAGCTCTGTGACTACAACTAAGACTACGACTATAAATGATCCTTCACGAATCAGAGCTCCGCAAACCACAAATAAAAAGGAAGAAGGGACAATTGAGACAAGTGGTATGTGTTGGATTGTCATTGTCTCTCTTGCTACAGAAGCTTGCTTCAACTTTTGTTGCCGAGAGTCGTCCAACTCTCTCTCTCTCCTCTTGTCGAAAATTAGATTCGTAGTATCTAAGCGAGTAAGTTTTCATCAATGAAAGTCTTTGGACATGTGATCACGTCGTAGCAACCATCCATCTGTCGTCTTGTTAGATTGGATGGTCATCATGCTTCAATCTGAATGGTATACCATTCAGTTGGTATTCATGATGTAGGATACTCACCATCCACTAAGAAGTTTGATAGTATCTATAATGTGAGATGATACCATCCACTAAAATATTGGATGGTATTCATGAGACTGGACAGTGGTTACCAAATTATGGATGATTAGTTCACTCCCAATTATTATTCATCAATTATATGTTTCAACTGGACAATTCACTTTATATGGCCCGAACAATCTGAAATGACCCAACTGTCCAAAATAATCCAAGTAATATTTTAAAAAAATATATTTTGATGTAAACAACATATATCTTAGCATATTTTCTCACTCCTTCACGTTAATTTAGTAATTCGACAATGGTAATTTAGTTGGTGAATGACGACGGACACAAGGATCAAAAGATCGGATACATAGGATTCCAAGGACAAAAAGACATTTCTTTCGAGGAAGTTCAATTTTGACACCTTCAAGGTTAGAGATATATTAAAAGAACATTAGTTGTAATTATTGTATTTGACAAGTAAGTTAGTATTAATCAATTAACACCATTCATTCTATTTTGGTGTAATTTTGGAGTGTTCCTTAACGACGAACTACGAAGGTCAAGTGTCATCGATCTCTCCCTAGCTCTGCAATCTATTACTTTTGAGGAAAGTTGGAAACTACCAGCACAAAAAGAATATTTGAATATTCCTATGCAAATTGAACAAATTTAGAAAATTACTTAACCGTTGTGGGTTAATACAACCAAACCTCATGATGAGCACATATCTTACACGCCTATATTATTACAACAACCCACAAAATTATTTCGCTTTTATAATTAGTAACTCTTAAAACGCAATGTTAATCATCATTGATTCGTTGATTATAACCACTTTATATAGATACTAGCTAACATTATCGGTCGAGTGATTTCATTCCTCTCTGTTCTAGCTTTTTAAATAAGTCAGATCGGTGTGAAAAACTCCTAAATCAGTAAATCCGGAAAGATTTAAATCGAACCAACTCCAAGTCAACTGAATTGACTCGATCTCAACTATTTAACTATTGTTGCTACCAGTGTATTCTAAAAAAAATAATTGTTTTATAAGACTATTCTCTGCATTTTGTTTCTTGTTTTTATGTAGGCATAAGGAGAACCGAATCCACCATATAGAGGGAAAGAGCAACTTCAACTTTTCGATTGTACCTTGGTTCGAGCCATGATTAGTTTTTTATATGTCGATTTAGATTCAAATTTAATTTGTACACTTGTAAACACTTAGAAATAGCTTGTTTGATGTTGCTATGTTTCAAAACACGTACAGCGTTGTCTAATGATATGAGCAAATTGTTGGTGGCAGCTAAGAAGGTCAGGAAGACAACGAGCACCGAATTCAAAATATCCTTGGTGGGAACTGATTTTTCTCAAGCGAGCATAACATTTGTTGGAAAGCTAAGATATTGATGCAAGGTTGTCAACTCGCGGGTCGACCCACTTTGATTCTGACCCGGTGAGAAAAATGGGCAGCACACACTCGCCGGGTCGACCGCTATAAGGTATCGGGTTGAAGGTCAAATTGTGTCATTTTTTTCCTTTGGTTTGTGAAATGCGTATATTTTCCGAGTTTTCTTTTCGCCTAACTAGATCTTTGGAATCCTAAGTTGAATATTTGAATATTGATGTATATAAGTGTGACTGAATTTTCACTTTATGCTAGATGTAAGTACGATATGTTATTTTGGTGTAATATTATATGTTAGATAAGATTTGATATAATTTATAAGGAAAAGTAGAATATAATGACTACTCTTTCCATGTTTCCGGGCCAAACCGGGCTAAAACGGTTGACCCACTAGTTCAACCGGGTCCGGGTCAACCCGCGGGTTGACAACCTTGAAATTGATTGTTTAAGATAAGATACTTGGTACTTTTTCTGTACGTTCTTTAGTAATCATGACTTTGGGTTGAATGAGCAGGTCTAATTTCTTGGGGACCAAGTTCTCAATTCATGAAAATCAACCTCCTAGTCCGGAATTGAAGTCAATTCGTATCCCACGTCAAAAAATTAACTCAATTCATGTGTCTTTGAAGGCGGGACTGCTCCTACCCCAACCGATCTTAAGCATTTTTGCAACAAACAACCTTAATTCTTCATCTCCCAGCTCAAAAGGGAAGAAGACTGTCATCGTTGCCTTTCAGATCTCCTTGTTGCCTCGGAGTCCGTACGTGTGCAGAGAAGAGATCCTCTGGTTTTGAAGAACAAAGCTCGATCCGAGGTGGCAAGAGCAACTACAGTGTTGGTGTTTGAACTTCAAGGGATGAGTGACTGTGGCCTCAGTGAAGAACTTACTTACATCTGGTCTTCACCACGGATTACTGTCTGTCTCAGTAGTTTCGACACTAATAAACCTGCTTGTGAATGTCGTTTTTTGTTTTGCTTTCATCTATTCACTCACTAATGTTGCATTAGTCAAATCCTGGCTCCCTCCATGCATTTGGCGATCTATCTATGTCGTGACAGCTCATTAAACAATGGGTGTTCTCACGTCATGAACATGACATGTAAAAAAGAAAACTAGCAATGTTGATGTCGTTAAGATTTAGAATTTCATTCTCATAGCTACATCTTTGTATTTGAAATGGTGTATACACCACTTTTTGTCCGGGTTAAATTTTAATTTTTTTACTTAATGTTGATACAATCTTATTAAACCGATTAGACCAGCGCTTAATCTCTTTTCATTTGAATAGGGTGAGGTCACCATTTGTTGCTTTGTATTCTTTTTAACGGACTTTTGAGATTGGCCTAGATTTTAAACGGAAAAGACAAACAGAAATATTATCTGCTAAATAAGTTAAAAATTACAATAAACTTGAATCACAATACTAAATATTAATTAAATAATAATTACCAATACAATGCCGAATCAATTGATCGAGAGCGCATTGTGGGAATTCCGATACCTGCACAACCGGCGGAGGATATTCAGGTATGGAGCCAGGAGAGGTCGGGAAAATACTCAGTGAAAACAGCATACAAATTGGCAATAAAGAAGAGGGATCGGACCCTGGAGCCTGCGATACAAGAAGAAGTAGAAGGGGAAGAGGAACTGGAACAAACAGTGGAGGTGTATGACCCTATGAACTGGAAAAGAATGTGGCAGCTCATAATACCTGCCAAAGTGAAGATTTTTCTCTGGAGACTAATCCACAATATCTTACCGACGGGGAAAAACATTGAGACCCGCAAGAAAGAAGCAGCAACAGAGTGCCCTTTCTGCCACAGTGAAGAAACCCAAAACCACATTTTCCGCGAATGTCAATGGGTGATTCGGGTGTGGAGACAAACAGAATTCAGACCACTCTTTGAATTAGAACCAGGGATATCACCGAAGAGTTGGATTTGCGAGATAATGGAACGAGTAGATGATGAGCTGATGGGTCAATTTGCAACTTTCCTTTGGATGATATGGTATGAGCGAAATAACCAAATGTTCAATCGGAGGAAAGCGGAGGAGTGGGAAGTGGTAGGAAAGGCGCGAAGCTACTGGGAAGAATTCAGTCTTTATCACAGACAAGAGAAATCAGAGAGGGAGCCGGATTTGGTTACCTGGAGACGCCCGCCGCCGGGATGGGTCAAGGTAAATGTTGATGCCGCAGTGTTGAAGGGAGAGGGAACTGGAATGGGGATGATTATACGCGACAGCGAGGGAGTCTTCTTGCGTGCGGCGGTCCGAAGAGAGAGGAAGTGCTGGCCCCCAGAAATTGCCGAGATCAAGGCGGTGGAGTTCGGATTGAAGCACCTGGAAATGAGCGGTCACCGGCAGGCGGTGGTAGAGACGGATTGCCAACAGGTCGTGCATGCGCTCCGAAGCAAAAGTCAGACAAGGTTGGAAGCGGGCCCTCTGATTAGTGAAATGCAGGCTACAGCCCAACGTTTGGGATCCATCAGGTGGGATTTTGTGAAAAGAAATGGCAATGAGCCGGCCCACACAATGGCACACACTAGATGTAACTGGGAGGAGGAGGAGTGCTGGGACACCAGGCCTCCAATTGTTATCTTAAACAGTCTGGAAAAAGAGGCCCGAGCCTCTTAATAAAAGCTTTCAGGTTTTCCATAAAAAAAAATAAAAATAAAAATAAAAGATTACAATTAACTACAAATAACCTTTACAATTATACAATAAAAAATCGACGCTCGGTCAACGAGCCCAGCCCAAACTCAAAGTCAACAGAAGTGAAGGACCACAGTCAAGATCCGAGTCAAACAACAGTCCAACCCAATCTCTAACCCAAACCAACCCAGACAGGTTGACCCACAATGATCGACCAAAACCAAACACAACCGCGTCACTTTTTTTTTTTATAAGGAGGCCAGTTTTCCATCAGAAAAGCGAGTTCAGACTTCAGAGACAACACATAGAGAACTCCCCCACACTTTCTTTCTTCCTTCTCCTCCTCAAAATCCCAGACACCAAAAACAGAGAGAAAAGGGAAACAACACTAAAAATCCCCAATCTTCCTTCTCCTTCTTGAACCCAGATACAAACACACAGATTAGAGGCAAGAGTTCCGGCCAGTTACCAAAACAAAAGAAGAAGAAGCAAAAGGCAGCAGCAGCAAGAAGAGGGACAGCAGCTTCATCCCTTCCACAAACAACAAGCCAAAGGTTGGTAATCACCCAACCCAATCATCATTATCATCATCCTTTGTTCATCACTAGTTCTTACAAGATCAAACTCAATCTAACTCCAAGCTAATTACCAGAGGACCAAAGTGATTTAAGAAGGCAATCAAATTACACAATCTGGGCATATCGATGTATCTATATTGGTTTGATTCCTTGCTATCTTCGTCCTATAAGCAATCAGAAACAGATTTGGCAAACACAAATTCCAGATTCAAAAAGCACCCAAAATTTTTCAGAACCAAACCCACCATTGCCACCAACCAAACATTCCGGATTTATTCTCCAGAGGCAGCAATGAAAAGCTATCATAGAAAACCACTAAAAAAACCACACCAAAAACCTAAAGATCATCACGCTTAGTCATGAGCAATGGCCATGACTGGGTTTTAGAGTATTTACTCCCCTAAACCAGAAAACCCAAAGGAAAAAACTCAGGCCAAAATGGACTGAATGCGCAGATCTTGTCTTAGAACCGCGTTTCCCGGCCGGTAGATGAGAGAAGTTGCTGGTGAAACAGAGCGGCTAGGGTTAGAGATGAGAAGCAAGGATTTCTTCCAAAGTTAGATTATATGCTCGACCAGCAACTGACCCTTTTGCTCCTTATCATTCATTAGATTTACCCTTCCTTGCCACCAAGTTCCAACTTCAGACATTGAGTTTGCAACTCAATCCTAGTCAGCATGACTCATCGTCATCATCTAGGCTACTGCCTCTGTTTTGTTGAGCTAATCTTTCCGTTTTGTAAAAGTTAATTTAACTAATGTTAACCTTCTTAGTTAGGCTAAACGAAATAGGTAAAACAGGGACTGGAGCCATAAAAGATCGGATACATAGGATTCCAAGGACAATAACACATTTCTTTCGCGGAAGTTCAATTTTTGACACCTTCAAGGCTAGACGCAGACAAACTCAACATTGGTTATCAAAACCTTACATTAAGTCTAATTGAAAGGTCATAAAGCAACTCCCAAGTCAATTGGATTGACTTGATTTCAACTATTTAACTAGTTTCCTAGTTATTTTTGCTGCCAGTTTACTCTAAGAACGTTTATTGTTTTATGAGACTTATTTTATGTTTTGTTTCTTGTTCTTACGTAGGCATGGCTTCACGTGTTGACTTGTGTGACTGGCTGCTGCTCCGTTGACAGAGAGAAGAAGAAGAAGAAGAAAGGCAAAATAAGAGTTTGGGTTAGTGCTTTTGTTGTTGTTTGGCTGGAGAAAGTGGAGACATGTTGTTCAAGGGCGTAGTGAGGGAGATAAGAGACACCATGGGGAGCAAATCAAAGGGTAGGATTAATGGGAAAGGGATGAACCATCACCGCCGGGGAAGAGCCCACATCGCGCCTGAAGGTGGGTCGGAGGTGCCTACTCAATGGGGGAGCTGCAGCCCAGGAGACGACAGTGGCGTCAACGAACAACATGGGTTATGGGCTACTTTGCCGCCGGAGCTGCTGAGGGACATAGTCCAGCGGATTGAGGCAAGGGGGACCTCGTGGCCGGCCAGACGAGACGTGGTGGCTTGTGCTGCCGTTTGCCGGTCCTGGCGTGAGATCACTAAAGAGATTGTCAAAACCCCTGAACAATGTTGTTGTCTCACTTTCCCCATCTCTCTAAAGCAGGTAACTTTCCCACTCTTAACCTCTGAAATTCCCTTCATTCTTTAAACATATCGATTAGTTTGATGATCAATGCTTTTCCTCGGATTTAGCCTGGCCCTAGAGATTCTCCAATTCAATGCTTTATCAAGAGGGAAAGAGCAACTTCAACTTTTCAATTGTACCTTGGTTTGAGCCCTGGTTAGTTGTTTATATGCTGATTCAGATTCAAATTTAAGCTCTACACTTGTAAACACATAGAATGGATGGATTGCTTGATGCTGTCTATGTTTCAAAACGCAGCGTTGTCTGGTGATATGAGCAAATTGCTGTTGGCAGCTAAGAAGGTCAGGAAGGCAACGAGCACAGAATTTAGAATATCCTTTGTGGGGACTGATTTTTCTCAAGCGAGTAGAACATTTGTTGGAAAACTAAGGTATTGATGGTTTAAGACAAACAAAATTTGAACTTTTTTTTTTTGTCTGTGCTTTATTAATCATGATTCTTGGTTGAATGAACAGGTCTAATTTCTTGGGGACCAAGTTCTCAATTCATGACAATCAACCTCCTTGTCCGGAGTTGCAGTCAATTTGTATGCCACGTCGGAAAATCAACCCAGTTCAGGCGCCTTCTTCATGCCCTAGAGGGTATGGAGTAGCCACCATAGTTTATGAGCTCAACGTCCTGCGTACGAGGGGACCGAGGAGGATGCGATGCACGATGCAGACGATTCCTATCTCATCTGTCCTTGAAGGCGGGACTGCACCTACCCCAACCGAGCTGACACATATCTGCACCGAGCAGCCTTCTCGATCTCCCAGCTCAAAAGGGAAGAAGACTGTCATCGTTGACTTGTGCTCAAGCAGCAGCCTTTCAGATTCCATGGTTGCCTCCGAGTCTGTGGGCAGAGATCCTCTAGTTTTGAAGAACAAAGCTCCGAGGTGGCATGAGCAGCTGCAGTGCTGGTGTTTGAACTTCAAGGGACGAGTGACTGTGGCTTCGGTAAAGAACTTCCAGCTGGTTGCACATGCCGAGCCTTCCTTGAATCTTCCCCCAGAGGAGCAGGAGAAAGTGATTCTCCAGTTTGGCAAGATTGGTAAAGATATCTTCACCATGGACTATCGCTATCCGCTCTCTGCCTTCCAAGCTTTCGCCATCTGTCTCAGTAGCTTCGACACTAAACCTGCTTGTGAATGATATGAGATGTAATAGCATTTTTGTGTTCCTTCATCTGTTTACTAATGTTGTTGTGCAATAACAATGCTTGTTGTATCTTTTGGTAAATTTTTGGGCTGTATATATTCGCTTCTTCAAAAGAAAAACAGTGTTTCATATAAATATAGCATCTCTAACTTTACATATCAAACATCATTTAACATAGTAACAGCAGCATAGTAGTAGCATTACATGGCTTTTGTGGATGAACTGTGCATCCTTATTTCTCCCCTTAGCTTTGTAATGATAGTTTACAGAACTCCAACGTCTTAGTGTTTGCTGGTTTGACCAAAGCCATAAGCTCTGCAGCCATGTCTCCTTGGTTTATCAGGATTGTCCGGTTCAGAATCACTCGTTTCCATGAACAATCCTCTTAAGCACCTTCTTCTCAATCGAGGTTCGTATGTAAGCTTCTCGGATGGTGTAGGATTGAACTCTGCTCTGCGCGTCTGAGCCTCTTCGTCAATGGCTGATCTGTTGAGTTCTGGTTGATTACTGCGAGATAGAGAAAAGTGAACTCCTGGGTCTCTTTCGTTCACCATGCTATCTAGCAGGATCGAATTGTTGATGCTCTGTGTGTTGCTGTTGATGTATGCCATTGGTGATGCTCTTTCGTTCACTCCTTCGCCATCGGTGGTAGATTCTATCCTGTCATCTGGATTTGTCTTGTACCCGCGGTGAATGTGGAGCGAGCCGCCTTTCCTCTCTGGATCACCTCCTAAAAGAATGGTAGCTCCCATGTTTTCTCCGGCCAGAGTGACGATGCTGACTGGTCGTTGTTCCCCACCCATTGGATGCTTCATGTTTCCCATGCCGAGCTTCTGGACGAGCTTCGAGATATCCTCTTTGATCTCTTTGTGCAGTGGAACTTGCTCTCCTCCATTGGCGGTTGTTGCACTCTTCCTGACCCTAGATTGACTAGAACTTACTCCTTCGACCTTCTCTGTCACTGGCTTCTTCCTTTCTCCGGTCTCTTCTTTCTCCTCCTGACCTTGTTTCACGGGATCTCTGGCCTGTGTTGCATTTGCATTAGAGGAAAGAAATGCGGCGACTCTGTTTCTCAGGCTGTTGTCTTCCGAAGAAGGGGCATCGCTTTCCCCCTCTGTTCTGATATTCTGCTTGCGTTCCTCTGATGCTCTGGAGAATGGGGAGAAACGAGCAGGACTTTTAATGTGGGCTGCTGGCTCTGGCTTTTTTACTTCTGAAGTTGCTTTCTGCTGAGGCTCTGCTCCCCAATTCTGTGTCTTTGGGGCAATCATTTCCTCCCTTGATTGATGCTCCGCGGGCTTCGGTTCTTCAACAGAAATGGATAATTGGGGTTTCTTCGATGGAGAAGGAAGCGAGGCAACCTTGGATTCTGCTGCCGCTGAAGGGGAAGGCGACGGTGGGACGGAGCTACCCTGATGCTGTGTTCTGACAGGAGACGCTGGCCGAGTTTCAGTGGTCGTCTGACGTGGAGACAAAGACCGCTGAGCTTGTGGTGCTGCTGCCGGTGGTGGAGGAGCAATTCCTGCTGGCCGGAAAGGTGAGCGTTGGGTGGAAATGGAGGCGGTAGGTTGTGGCGGGGCTCGGATTTCCACTGGTGTCGGACGTGGAGCTTCCGGTTCAGGCACAGGACGGGGTGGGGTCGTGACACGAGGTGGAGTCGCGGAGGCAGACAGCCAAGGAAGGCGGAAGCGAAACTGCCTCTGTTCTGCCATTGATGAAGGAAATGAAAAAAATAACAGAGTGTGGAAGGAATAAAGAGAGCTAGTATTGGTTTTGTTAGTTGTTTTTGGTTTCAGGAATTGTTGGGAAACTTCAGGGATTCTTTCCTTTTCACCAGGCAGGGGATTTCCAATTTTGCAGGATTCTTTTACACAGTAATCCTCATTTTGCCTTCTGTATCAGGTCTAGAATCTTGCAGGTTTCTGAAAGCGGGAAGTTTTCGCAGGATATGCTTTGCCTTGATGCCAATCCTAAACCCCCTTCATGATTCACGTGAAAGTCAAACAGTTATGGAGGAGACATAGCTAGCTTCGGAATGAAGATCGAAATCGCAGAAACAGAAGACATCCCCCAACTTTCCAATTTCCTTGATCTGGTGGTACAAGCAAGGAACATAAGATTTCAGACAGAGAATGTCAAAGTTTGAACGGGAAGACATTCTCCTGGTTCTTCTTGTTTGTCTTCTCCTAGAAAAGTACCTAGGTGGGATGCCAAGCTTTCATCATTTAAGTTAGCTTCACGCCAATTCGGTTTGTCCCCATCTTTGTAATCAAAGAGTGGGAAGAGGGTTTGGAAAATGCAGGCACTAGTCCAAGTCCAAGGATTAACATCGTTGCAGGGAGCGGTGCTGAGAAGTTCCGCTGCGAAGCAGAACATAATGCCTCGTGTGGCCTCCTCTTCTTCCTCCGCGGAAGAGAAAGGGCTACAGAACATGACTGTGGCGGATGTGTTGATGACAAAGAGAGAAGAAAAAGTCAGTTCTTGGTTCTGGTGCCGCACTACTGATTCTGCCCATGAAGCAGCCAAGAATGTAACTATTCTTTTCCTCTGATTTAGAATATGTTCTTCAATAGTATTCTGTATAGCATGAGAAACTAGGATTCAACAAACTCTTAAAAATTGCAGATGGCAAAGAACAATATTGGGTCACTGGTGGTTCTCAAGCCTGGAGATCAACAGTACATCGCAGGAATTATCACAGAAAGAGGTAAAACCTGGCCAAAACCAGCATTCTCATTAGCTAAATACTGTTCTAATTGTTGTTCATGATGGAATTTATCTAAGGAAAGTAATAGCACAAGGGAGATCTTCAAAGTACACAAAAGTTGGGGAGATCATGACCGATGAGGTCGAAAATTTTCCTGCTTTAAGATTCTCTTCTCTGGGGTTTTTTTTTTTTTTTTTTGCATCAACTAATTGGGCTATTGATAGCAGAACAAGTTGATAACGGTGGCAGAAGACACCAACATTCTGAAGGCAATGCAACTAATGACAGGTACTACAAAAAGTTTAAAGATTCTGGCTAATGCTGCAAGTTTAATTACCTCATATGCTGATGGTGAATCTTTCTGATCTAACAGACCACCACATTAGGCATGCCCCTGTCATCGACGGAAATATAGTTGGCATGATTTCTATTGTAGATGTTTTCGAGCAGTCGTAGAGCAGCAAACTGGGGAGTTGAAGAGGCTAAATGGCTACATTCAAGGAGGCTACTATTGAAATTGTGTTGTAAACATCTGAAAACGGTTGATACATCATATCCTGCTTTCTAATTGATCTATCAAAGATTTCTACTAAAAAAAACCCCCACATGGGAACAAGCCACACTCATTGAACATTTTATTACAGAATGTCATGACGATAGTAAAGCATCAGAAAGAACTCCGTGTATAGGCAGACAAAATTGGACTTTGGTTCTTGCACCTTCTACCATATCATAATCGAGTAATTGGGTGAACATGACAGCTGCCACTGGTCTTGATAATCTTCAGGGAGGCTTGAGAGTGCTAATAGCGCCTACTTGTTCTGTTCCATTTAAGAGCACGAGTCGCTAAAGCAATCTTGAGGGATTCCGATTGAGTATGGCCCTGTGCCAACATCATCTCACCTATCCTTTTAGCCTCCTCGCCAAATTCACCAACAATAAGACCATTTATGACCCTTTCAAAGTCATCCGCTCCAAGTTGCTCTTTTTTAGCTTCCAGAACCCCTAAAGACTGAAGCGCCTTCTTCTCCATCTTAGCCCTAGCATACATATCACAAAGTATCACTTGAATCTTTAGAGGCGCCTCCCCCAAATTGGCAATTTTCCCCAGCAGCTGCTCAACCTCATCTATCAAACCCATCTTGCCCAACCAATCAATCAAAACGGTATAAGTTGCAACCCCTGGCTCAAAACCAACATCACCCTCTAGCTGCAACAAAAGGTTCAATGCCTTATCCAGCAAATTCTTCTTTTTATATGCTGCAATCATGCCGGCGACACACCTGTCATCAGGCTTCAGCCCATTTCTCATCAACTGGTCAAAGTTATTCCTCGCCATATCTGGATTCCCTTCTCGAGCATATGCCTCAATGACCCAAGTGCAACTTTCCAAAGTAGGTTTGACTCCTGAAAATTGCATGGTGCCCGAAATCCTTGCAGCTCCAACAGCATTCCCTTGTTCAGAGTATGAGGCGAGCAATGCCATGTATATTTCCTCTGGTACTTTAGATTCTTTGGTTTCCATCTCTCTCAGCAATTGCTCCCCCAGGCCAGGCTGCCCGGCTTTTATATAAGCCATTATCATTGATTGGTAGACCTTCATGTCTAGTTTAAAGCCATGGCTAGAGTAAGTCTCGTATGCCTGTCTAGCTTTGTCCAGATCGCCTGCCTTGCTATACATAAGTGTCAAACTTTTGGCAGTCGAGATGTCAGGGAGAATACCGTTATACTCCATTTTCCGGAGGATTCTCTCAGCATCTTCTATGTGATTCTCTTCAGCATAAGCAGCGATTAGGTTAGAGTAGTCACGGATGTTTGCCTGGAAAGAAGTCTCGCTCAAGAGATGCTCAGCTACCTGCAAAGAAACACAAAAGCATGATCAATTCACTAGAACAAATACTTTCCAGAATGAATGAATATTTTACTTTACTATTCACATTCCTTCAAAAATATTCACCCTACCAATAACACAGGGGTTAGTCCTAAGGCACAAGTTAGCCATTGTTGAAAGTCTGAAATAGGCGAATGCAATATCCACCATTAATCAGTAGCTGAGAGAGTTGCTATATTGAGTACCCTTTTGACATATATGTCAGGTCCTAGCTTCTTTCGCCTTTAAAGTAAGCACAATCATTTTAATAAAATAAAATCACACATCATCAGGCGCAGAAACTAGTTGTTTTCGTCCACAAAAGAGAACCAGTTTAAAAAGACAGAGCCCACAGTTACCTTAAGGTGTAAGTTACTGTCCCGTTCTTTCAGCTGGCGAAGCAACTCAATCCAATCAACCTTTCTTGGCTCCTGGAGCTCTTTATATTCTGTCAGCAGCGCGGAAGGATCATCCTCGACTTTCAAAGACATTATTTTCTCAGCAACGAGTTTGCATTTCCCTGATATTGGCTTAGGCTCATGGGGCCAAATGGCCTCTCCTGCTTCATGGACTTTATCCGCAACTTCACCCCATTTTGAATCCGAGAGATCTAGCCCATAAATCTTGTACTTTATCTTCCCATGTCTCTTAGGAAGATCAACAACCTTAACACTCTCCTCAGTCACCAGGGCTTCTTCAACAGCAGTAGTCTCTCCTTCTGCTCCCACTTTCTCTTGTTCTCTTTCTTCTTCACGAAGCCGCTTCAAGCTCTCATAAAAGTCAGCTTCCTCCATCTTCTCTCGTGCCCATTTGAACCTTAGCTCTCGAAGCATGTCCCCCTGAAGACCTATTTCACCAGCAAACCTACACATCTCTTTCACCTCCTCGTCTTGCAAGAAGTGCTTCATTTTCTCCTTCTTCCTCTCCTTGTCCATGTCCTCCACCACGGAATTACTAACTTCCCACACAGTCCTCCAAAGGTCCTCGCTGAATTCCTCGGATGAAATGTCCGATCCAAGCATCCGGTCCAAGCTACCTTTCTCCATCTCATACACAACCTTCTCAACTATAACCAAAAGCATACTATCGACCGTAGGTTTATCACATTCAGGGTAGGCTTCCGACAGCTTCTTCCGCATGATCCAGGCAAACCGCGATAAGAATTCGTTCGTGGTTCCATCATCCTCATGGGAATCGAGCTTTGGAGCAAAAGAGCTGAAGTGGGGTTTCAGCTCGGGCTGTGAAGAAGCAGCAGAGTGGAGATGCCTAGTGAAGAGAAAATTGGGTTTTGTGCTGTGATGGTCTCGAGGGAGTTGCGAGCCATCAAAATTGCTGCTTGACGGAGCACAGGCTGAAACTGTGGAGATATCTCTGTACCCATTGCTCCGATATGGAGAAATGAATCTTCCATAGAATATTGAAAAATTCTTCACTGACTGCCTGTTGACTATTCGTTTCAAATTCATTGCTCCCTGAGCTGCAGATACAGACTGGGAAAGTCGGAATGTGTGGAACTTGGGAGAGAAAACGCGAAACGCTATGTAGAAGCTAATAAGCGGAAAATCAGGAGCAGAGTGGGAGAAACACGACGCCGAGAGCGGCGAACTTTGTACCTGAAAGGGGTCCGAGGAACGACGGCGAAGTTGCGGTGATCGGAGAAGCCCGAGCTCAGAGAATGAGGGCGAAATCTATGGGGGAAGTGAAGAAGAAGAAGAGTGAGAAGGGAAAAGGAGCATGAAAAGAAGTAGGGCTCCTTCTTAGTCCAATCGACCATGTGGGCTTAAGGTTGGATCCAGGCCCATGAACCCAGTCTGCTCGTAACCCAGATCCGTATGGTAGCGCAATGGAAATTCATTCGTGGTTTTAAATGATTAGAGATCTTCAAATTAATTAACTAATGATTTGGAAGTAAACTTTGTACTAATTATGAAATTGGTGATAATTAGTTCATAATTGTTTTTTATTGATTATGTTACTGTAGTTTATATATTTTTCACATTTCACAAGAAAAGTTTACACTTCTTATTGTAAGCATAAATTGCTTCAAAATATTTATTCGTAAGATTATGTATTATTAGCTTATTTTCTATTATATTCAAATAAAAATAAAATATTTATGCACTGAAATAGTAATTAGAAACTAGAGATTTTCCCTAATGCTAACATGGAAGGATAATGTTCAGCAAATATTTGATTCAAACTTTATGTTCTAACTTTGACATTTGAAAATGCTCAAAAATGTATATAAAATTTGTGGGGTCGTCGAAAAAACTTCTTGGCCCCATGAAAATATTTACATCAATAGGTGAGATCTGACAAACCTAACTTAGGCTGGCTCCAACCCAAGGAGCTAAAATGCTAAAAAGTCAAATTTGGCTTTTTTTTCAAGCTCCAACCCACAAAAAAATTGGCTGCCAAATTTGGGTAAATTGGTTTAAGGAGATAAATTTAGCTTTCTCTTGGATTGAAATGCCAAATTTGGCTGGACAAAAAGTGGTGCCCCGCTGAACATGCGTCCGACATCTGTCCGCCACAACTACTTTTTTTTTTCTTCTTTGCTCAAGTCACAATTGCCATCACGTGGACCTTAAATTTGGAGGCTGATTTGCGCTATAAGAAAGATTAAGTCCAGCGAAGCAAATTAATGGCTAATCTCCAACTTAATGCTAACAAATTAATGACTAATCTTCTAAAAAAATTTTGTTGGAATTAAAAAAAAATTCATAAAAAAATCGTTTTCAAAAGTATTAACGAACTATAAAAAAATTAAAGTAAAATATAAAAATTAGAGACCAAATAACTATGTTTTATTAAAATAAACTGAAAAAGGAAGGTGAGAAGCTAAATTTAGCTTTTTGTAGGGTTGGAGTGAAAATGGGATTTGGGAAGCTAAAAAGTCATATTTGACTATTTGGAGAGCTAAATTTGGCTTTATGGGTTGAAGTTAGTCTTATAAAATGTCTGACCTATACTTCGCTTATATCATTAGTCCAACTTTATTCGCGTTTAATCTTTTGTCTTTTTTTTTTTCATTTCCAACCATTCCATTTCTCATCCCACCTAAGAATTGATATCACCTCTCTCTTTACTTTTATTATGAGTTATGAGGCTATAGTTCCATTTTCAACAATTTCTCTCTTACTTTTTGTCTCTTTTCTTTTTTATTCTAGTTCATCAAAATAAAAGTGACAAATTCTAAACTCGTAAGTTAGTACAAAAAATGTCACGTCGACATATTTCATTAATCTAGTTAGCATTGTTGACGGTGTTGTTAAGTTTAACAAATTTCATAGACGAAATGATTATATATTTCACTATTAAAAAATAACTCTTTGTGTCACAGTGGTGGAGGTTTTTGTTATACATGTGTACTTTGTGTAAACTAAACCACACATATTGTTCAATATTTAACATTCAAATTAATGTTACTTTTGTTCCCATTGAAGGGTTAGTCTCATGAGATATAAATAACTTCAAATAAATATAAATATGATAGCATCAAACACCAAATAAGTTGTGCTTATATTAAAAAAAAAAAAGTTGTAAGAAATACAACGTAGTCCAATTGATTATAGGTAAGGATGTGCAATGCTTAAGTCCGTATCATACCACACCACCAAACCAAACCAACGTTTGGAACGGACCATATCGAACCAAATATAATATGGACCGGTACTTGGTCTAATTTAAATTAACTCATTATAATTTATTTGTTTTATAAAATGAGACACTGACAAACAGAGTCTTAGTCGTCAACCTTGAGATTCCAAATTCAAATCAATAAGTATCACATAGTAATAAAAACTAATGCATGTTAATGCCACCACTATAAGGAAAAAGAGACAACTAACCAGATTGTCTCATTTGTGAACGACTCTAAGTTAAAGAAAGATCGAATTTGTGACAACTAACTAAATTGTCTCATTTGTGAACGACCCTAAGATCGATTACAAATTCCATAAAAGGTACATTATTACTACTATTACACATAGTAAATTAAACCGGATCGGACCAGCCGGTCGAACCGGTAAAACCGGATTTCGGTGCCTGACCGGTACGACAGACGGACTGTGGGGAAAGAGCCGTTTCGGTCGGTTTTACCGGCACAACCGGCTCAACTCAAAAAATCGCCCGGTTTTGGTCTAACCGGGGGTGAGCTGATATAGTGGAAACGGCGTCGTTTTGCATTAAGGGAAGGGAAAAAAAAAAAAAAATTAATCGGCCGAAGCCTAAAACCAAAACCCTAACTCATCTCTTCAACCTTCGTTTGTTGCCGCTGCCGCTGCGATTCCTCTTCTTTTCGAGGACGAGAAGGCGACCCTCCCTCCTCTGCTCGACGACCGGAGACCCTGCCTCCTCTGCTCGACGACCGGCGGTCCTCCCTCCTCTGCTCGACGACCGGCGATCGTCTCCGGCACCGGCTCAAGAAGAAAACGACCGGCGACCAGGGCACGCCTCAAGAAGAAACCTCCTATGCTCCGCCTCTATTCCGCCGCTGCTCTGCCACTCTTCTCCGCCGCGTCTCCCTAGTCCCTCCCCTGCTCAAGAAGAACACGGCGGCAGCAGGTATGGCTATCCAAACTTGCTCACCGATTCTTCTGAAATGGTGATCATTGTAACGATCAATCGCCGGGACAGCTGGGTTTGGGGCTTCTTTTGAGTTTGTGGGCTTGTCTGGCTCCATTTAAATGTTTACGGAAAAATTCCACAGTCAGGTAGCTAGACTTCATGTCCACAAGTCGAAGAACTGTTTTTCTGCTATCATCACGGAATCTTTCCAAGGATTCATTAGCAGCAGCAATGTCAGATTGGAGTTAATCAACTTTAGGTCATACGGGAGGGATCATTCATGCAATGAGTGAGAAGTAATTCTAAGGAGGTCAGAGAACCTAAAAATTTTCAGATCATAATGGTTCAAATCGACATAATGTTCATAACACTATTATCATCATAGTGTTACAGCTTGTTGTTTTGTGTAATTCTAGATAAATCTAGATGATCATTGTGTTTCGAGTAATTCTAGATAAATCCATCTTGTTGTTTTGTGTCACAGCTTGGACTTGCCTACTTAGAGTGTTAATGATGTCCAATAATTCAGTAATGTTGTTTGTACTCGATCGTAAACATGCATTTGAACGATTATGTAGTTAATTCAGTAATGTTGCAGTTTGTTGAATTTTATATTACATATGCTTATTTAGTTTATTCAGGTTTGTTATCCGGTATATTCCGGTTTTATTCCGGTATTATTCCGAGACGGTATCACAAATCTGCCGGTACGGTTTTTTCACAAAAAAATATTATTTATTTACAAAAACGGTATTTTGCCGGTACACAACGATTGAACCACGGTAGTACCACAAAATACCCTACCACTGGCGGAGCCGGTATGACTTCCGGTACGGTTTCCTTTAAGCATATAATATAAGACAATCTAATGCAGCAGGCACAAGATCTAAGGGATTTCAAATGGGAAAACCAACAAAACCTTTTCTCTTTTCAGCTGTAGTAGTCAAAGACAAAGAGTGAAAGAATAAGTAGAAATTCAGTACAGGCAAACAAGACCTAACAAGTAACAGGGGGGGGGGGGGGGGGGGGGGGGGGGGGGGGGGGAAGGCAGAGAAAACTCAACACAATCATACCATCATGATCATCAAAAACTGTCTCCCAGTAGCAACAAGAAGAGATGGAGGCTGTCTGAGTGAGCTCCACTGGCAGATTTTTGGTGCCCAAATTGCAAAGGAAGGAATATGTGAACTTATCAACCTCCCATAGCCACGTTCACTGATTGGCGTCCATGGAACTTTCAGGCATCCCTACTCCTTATCTTTTGGAACATTCCCTCAAAGCAAACCACAAGCTCCTCCTTCATGTAAAGATTCAATTCAAAACCCATCTCTAAGATTTTCTTCCCAACCCAAGATCGCCCCACCAGTCACCAAAAAGGATTCCCAACTTTTTCTCCTCCAACATGTACCTATTTTCATCGTCATAACAATGAAAAGTTTGAGTGAAATATATGAAAAGAGTCATGGAGTATTTTTCTCGCCTTAAACTTTACTTGAAAGGGAGAGCAAAAAAGGAGTAGCTTCAAACATACCTGTCAATTAACTACGTAAATCGAACATAAGTAAAGAACATACACGATTTAAGTGGTTCACTTTGTTTAGTATAAGCGACGCTAATCCACGAAAAAGTTGAAGCTTCCACATTAAAAGTGCATTCGATAAATAGATCTAACCACTCCAATTTCTGTTCGAGGTCCCTTTTTACCCTTTGGTTGAACACAACAGAGACTACATTCTTAAATATCAAAACAGATGCAGACCATATATTGATCCACTCCAGTCCAATTCACGATCCAAAACATCAAACCAATCTAGTATGAGATGACCCCTAGTTAAATCGAGCAATATTTTCACCCATCATTCTCGTTGACTATGGTAAAACGGATTTGTGTACCTCGAGGGACCAAATGGAGGGGAAAAAAGCCTAAGAATTGAAACTCATTAGGCCAAGTCCAATGCAAAACCCCAAATTTGGGGGCCTTGAACTCCAAATTTGGGGATTGAACCCCATTTTCCCTTCTTTTGCTCCAATGCAACAAACTCCATATTTGGGGTTCTTAATATTTCCAGTTTTTCCATTTATTTAAAAATGTACTTATCGAAACTTTAATATAATTTATTCATGTTAATTTTTGTATAGTTCGTCATCATTTTTAAATACAAATTTTTCGATAGAATTTTGTTAAATTTCGAGACCGAATTTTTTTTAGTGAAAAATACAAACATTAATTCCCTTTTCCCTAATTAATTACATTCCATTCCCTTAATCAATTTCCTTAAATAACTAATAAATAATTAACAAAAAAAAAGCTCCTGCGTTGGAGCTCCAAAAATTGCATTAATTACATTAATTAATCCAATAAACAATTTCCTTTCTTCCCTTAATTAATCACATTAATTAGCAAGCAATTAATTACACCTTTCCTACCATTAATCACATTAATTGCGCGCGTGCCAACAATTCTTCCATTCCCCATAAATGCCGACCTCGGCATTCCCTCCCCCATATTTTTTTTTTTTTTGCATTGATAGGAGGCCAAGGCCAAGAACAAGAAACAATTACAGGAGGAGATTACAGAGGGGGGGTGGAGGAGGTAATGATACGCCGCTCAAAAGTAGTCCCAAGCATATCATCCCTGAGGATCGAAGTCACTCCATTGGGTGGGTCCGCAAGTTCATGCATACCGTAGGGATAGACGAGACTGTGCTTCGAGAGCCAGTCCGCGACTCTATTCCCTTCCCGGTATGTATGAGCTATGCGTACCACCCAATCACTCCCAATCTTCCTTCTAATAGCTGTCAACAAGGTCGCATAAGGGTGGATCGGGTCCTGCCGAGTACTGATCAGCTGAATCGCCAGTTGAGAGTCCGAGGCCACCTGAAGGAAACTGCAGCCAGCTTTCCGCGCGATGTCGAGCCCATAGCTAATGGCCCACAGTTCAGAGAGAGCGGCCGTCGCTGCACCCAGATTCGCCACAAAACCTGCAACCCACCTACCACTCGAATCTCGGAGAACACCACCCGCCCCGGCGGGGCCAGGGTTCCCTGAAGAAGCGCCGTCGACATGGAGGGACAGCCATCCCTCAGGCGGGGGCGTCCATCCAACCTGCGCCAAAACCCGATCCGCTGGAGCCTGTCTATTACTGGGGAGGCGGGACGGCGCATTCCAAGCATCATGCCAGAGCTTGGTTTTCGCCATAATAGCATGCTCAAGAGAATGAGGAGAGAGAGCTGCCCCCATACCTTCAAAGCAAGCTGTCGACCTGTTCTTCCAAATGAGCCAGCAAGCAGTGCAGAAGAAGGCCGACCAATCCATACCTGTGGCCATGCTGTCTTTGCTCAAGATGTTTTCCCGCAGCCAATCCCTCAGATTAGAGCTGAAGAAGGAGTGTTGTCGGGAAGGAGGCACTCTTCGAGACCAGAAGAAACTCGCTGGTGAGCAGTCTCTCAAAGCATGAAGGACCGTCTCAGGCTGGCCAATGCAGGCTGCATTGGAGTCATTTTTAGCGACCCCCATATTTAGCGACCCCGATGCCGATGCCCTCCATAAATGCCGATTTTCGCCATTTTTCGTCTCTGCGTTGGAGCTCCAAAATCGCCATTAATAGCGAGAACTCCATAAATGCAGGCTGCATTGGAGTCAGCCTTAGGGGCTACATCTCCTTTTCCCTGGGTTCACAACATGAAAGTAACCAAAGGAGTCACTATGAGCCAAGCATTCAGATTCTGTTGTCACATCTTTGAGCTCAAGTTGGTTCACGTGAATAAAAAATTTGATCCAATGATGTGAGGGGAAAATGACCATGAAAGCAAGCAAAATTGAGAATTATATAATTGACTCCACCATAGAAAATATAGAAGGAATCCACTTAGCTTCAGAAGGTTGGATATGATGAGTGATGACATGATAAAAAGATTCTCCATGCAGGAAGATGTAATCAGATACGGTGTGTACTGCTGCTAAAAGAGTGATTCCCCAGCCAGCATTTCGCAATTTTAACTGGTGCACAAAATAATGCGAGTCAATGGCATAAATGGTCATTAACAAATCAGTCCCTGCAGTTTGGTTCTTAATAGACATTAGACATGTCACTAAATGTTGGGATGAGGCTAAAGCAGAATTCACTGGGTCTATTTCCCATCCAAATTGCCCTGGTTACTGTTACAGCTCTCGAATTACTCCATACTTGATCCAATCGTATATCAACTTCTCGACCCAATTTACCATCTAATGTTATCGGAAATTATCTTATTACCTTTTCTACCCTACTCGATAGCAAACTGAGCGGTCTAAGTGACGTTGCCTATTAGTAACAAGAATGAGACGACAGGGTGATGATGAGACTCCCAAATTCAGTAATTTGTTAAAATTCTAAGTTTAATGACCGATTTGATAGTGGCGATAGAGTTTAGTGACTGTTTATGATTGACCCAGAAAATATTGCTGATATAAAGACTGATTCCCAGCCAGCATTCGAGATCGTACCTGGTGAAAAGAAGAGGCAGAGCACTTCCGGGAGAATCGTAGTGGTAGTACAGTATGTCCAGAGTTGATTCTCTCCTCTGCCAGTGAATGAAGTTACAAATCCGTGACAAATTCAACTTCTGTATGGAGGAAAAGAACCCTTTCTCTTTTCTCTTTAAAAATTTCATCTTACCACAGCCTGGCCTGGCTATTCCTTTGCAGTCAATCCCATTGGCAAATAGCTAGCAAACACATCAAAATTGGCGTTAACCATTCCCAATTTAAGCCAGCCTGATAAATTGGGGAGAGAGTAGAAAAACTATGTAAATGGTTTACTAGTAACCACAATTTGATAACTGTAAATGGTTATGATGAACCATAACACATGTTCAAAACAACAACTAGAATTGGTCATTGCAGAAGGACAAAAATGGGGGTTACCAATTATTGACAGAAAAGGAAAAGTAGGATGACTGGTAAAGCTGCTGTCTCATTTTAAGCAATTAGAAAGGTTTTAAGGTCCCTCCCAATGCTACAAATCATGGTTGAATACTTGAATTCATTCTAATACAAAAGCAAGACACGTGTACCAGTGAAAGGGCGGCTAACAAAATTTGCATGGGGACGCTTGTTCGATTATCCAAAACCAGACAAAGAAGGTGCACCAGGGAAGGAGACAGACATCAGTCCAAAGAAAGGAACAAAAAAGCAAACACTGTAAATGGAAAATCAGACTATTGCAGGAAGCAAGCTGAAATCGCCACTCCTACTCAAGCAACTGACACAGTAGTAATATGTTTGGCCCAAACAGCAAACAACACTACACACCCATTGATTCTGCTGATTCAGCAAACAATAACGACAAGAAAGATGAAATTTTTTTTTACAAGAAAAATAACGCAGCAGTAATGCTCTGTTCCCAAGTTCCAATACCATGTGACGTACCATGAAGTTCCAAAGGAGAAAGGACACAACTTTGAACTGCTAAACTGGAAAATTAAGGCATCATTTGAGATGAAAAGAACCAAAAAAGGAACTGGAAACATCATCCTTTTTCTCTTCACTTATAGCAACAAAATAGTCAGAAAGGCACCGCCTAATCCTCGTGGGGTGGGGGAAGAATTCCAGCCTTCTCTAAAGGGGTTTTTGGATTGAACAAGACGATAAAACAGCACCTTGATGCACCCTTATCTAAATTCTTTCTCGGATTTTTTTATGGAGAATGGAACCAATGTTCCAACCCTGATATGGTAGATGTTATAATTCCATGTCATTACTAGGAACACTCTTGGGATTTCTCAGCTAAAAGTTAAGATTACTTACCACCAAATAAGATGCTGCTTTGTTGACAGTGATAGCAGCTACGATTGACCTGGAATGGAATAACAGGAGAGTGCTGCAGTAAGAACTAAATCCAAGATTTGATTCACAAGAAAAAGCAAAGAGTGTCAAGCAAGCATATACCAGTGAATAAGGATATGTTATGGCAACTTGCCCCCCAAAAAATGCAAGAAAGAAAGGGAAGTTGGCAATATGAGTTGGGTAGTGATTTGAAGGACTGCAGGGTGGGATATGGGGATTCATACTCTATAACCACATCTATCTATTATGGAGTTGGGATCTAATCCCTCCCAACAGCTGGTAAAAATGAAAATTCTCTCCCCCCAAGATCCACTTGCTAATGATATTGTACAAGACAAGAAAATGACTTTTATAAAGGGCCAGTCTTTTTGCTCTTACAACAAACAGGTCTTGTCCTGTTTTACTCCCCTCTTTGCTTAAGCAAGCGAATATTTTATTTTTTTTCTGCCTACTTGCATAGTCCACAGGCCACAGCACCTCCCTGGCTCCCTCCAGGCCTGCTTATAAGGAGCAGGCTTCCCAATCTTGTTCCCCATACCATCCCTTGACTCGAGTCTTCTCCCCTTTCAACTACCTTCCTCTCTGTGATCTTAACTCCTCACTTTGTTCTTCCTTCCTCTCTGGAGAACATCGCTTTACACATTCCCCCTCTTTTGACAACCAAAAACTTAAGCTTTTTGCCAGTTTTTTTTTCCAAAGCCATCCCCTTCACACATTCTAAAACTACGTTTGATGGCATCGAGTTACCTTCCTTGTCAAGGTTCTGACTCCTCATGGACGCCCAAGCAAAACAAGCTGTTTGAGAGGGCACTGGCCGTCTATGACAAGGACACCCCTGACCGCTGGCAGAACGTGGCACGGTCTGTGGGTGGTAAATCCGCTGAAGAAGTGAAGAGGCACTATGATCGTCTGGTGGCGGATCTCATGTACATAGAATCTGGTCAAGCTCCCCTTCCGAATTACAGGAACCCTGTGAGCAATGGTAGCAGAGGTTATCCAGATGAACAGAGGTAATGCACATTAGCCTTGAAGATAACTGAAACATGTTAAGCATTTCCTTGCGAAAAAATTCATCAACCATAAGTTATGGTCAATCAAATCTTGAATTCTTAAGCTGTTTATAGTGTCAAACATGCAAAGCTAGTCCTGAAGTTGACAGTTCACAAGATTTCACTTCTTGCATAGTTGCATTGGCCTGCAAGACTTCCAAAGAGTTTACAAGTTTTCGCCTTTTCAAGTTAATACATGTTGGTTGGACAATTTGGTGTGTTTCCTTTTGCTGAATTACTTTGCCGTCCACTTCCCTTTCTACTTCTGGTAGCTACTATCTAAAGCAAATACTGACCCTGTTCCCCTCTAATACAATTATTATTCTTCTGTTCAATCATATTGTATGCCATCTACATATTGTACCCTAGCTTTCAAGAGACCCCACATGAAATCTAATCCTACTAATGTTACATCATCACATGCACATGGCTGGTCCAAAGAATCAATTAATTAATCAGTTAATCCGGTGCTTGACAGTTACCACCAGTCACCACAACGCATAAGACACAGAAACTAAAAAAAATATACAAGTTTCTCATTCCTACATTGATCCCCATGAGCCACATACACGATGAAAGTTCTTGGATCTAGCTAGAAACATGATCTATAGCTATTTTAAGAAGCATCTGATGCTGCTGCCAAAATGCTCTAGGTCGGTCCTGATGTGTTAAAAAAATCAGTGGCCAATCTCCTATCTGTATAATAAACCTGAAACATCATCTCTACACAATATACTGACAATTTAAAATTACTTTATCTTTGTTTATCTGTCCTTTTGCAGGCTTTTGAAGAATCTAAAGCTCCAATGAGGAACAAGTTTCAGATACTTTGCAAGGAGGATATTGTAAAGATTTCAGGAATGCAGCATGTATCTGCACAAGTAGCTAGCTAAAAAAATGAAGCGGGGAAAGTTTCCCCCTGGGTTCTGTTTCTTCTTCTTCTTCCACCTCTGCCTTCCTCAGCCCCTACTGTGTTCCTAAGTTACTAATAATGAGCCAAAAAGACAAGGAACCAAGTGTAACTGTGCCCCTTCTTTGTGCTTGTATCTACTGTAATATGATGTTTGCCTCTTCCAATTGTATCAAATCTATAAAGAAGTTGGTCTTCTAATCTGCTTTCCAGTAGCAACACCCATTAGAGTATAGTACCAGATTGCATGATAGAGCTCCGGATTAAGCTCTGCCGGGGAATTGGGGATTGGGGATCAGTTAGGGATTGATCCAAGGAATTGGGAGATTGAGGGTAGAAGGATTTAGGGGATTTGAGGTGAGAAGAAGAGGGGAATTGGGCTGCTGCCTGGCGGCAGCTTTGGAGAAGAAGAAGAAGGGGTTGGCGGCCAGAATAGAGAGGGAGAGGAAGAGGGAAAACAAAATAGGAATTAGGTTTATTCTTGCTTGCCAAAACCTACGTAGACAATAGTTTAAATACCCAAAACACAATTACCGACTAACTACCCCAACTTATTAATTCCCCAACTATTCTCCAATAACCAAATTAATCCCCAAACTAAACAATTCAAACCGACATTAATCTCAAATAATAAAACGTCTATCATTCCCGCTCTCTTCAAAACAACCTTGTCCTCAAGGTTGATGGTCGTCTCCTGCATCTTTCCCTTCCCATGCCTCATCTTCCGCTTCGTCCTCCCACCTTCCGACCAGCATCATCAAGTCCGGACGTGCACACTTATGACCGATCGTGAACCTCTCGTCGCAGTTAAAACACTTCCCTTCCCGCCTTTTCTGCTCGATCTCTGCTGGAGATAGTCGTACAAACCCTTTTGGTGGCGGTCGCGCCCCACCCTTTGCCGCAGCTCCCGGCGCCTGCACCGCTACGGGTCCTCCAGCTCCAGACGTGGCCCCGGCTACTCCTCCCCCGCCACTGCTCCCGGCACCACTAGCCCTCGGGTAGCGGCCTAGGGTGCTCCTCCAACTAGCAAGCTCCTCTTCCTTGTACCCTGCAAGACGAAAAGCAGATTTCAAGGAGTCCGGTTCAAAGACCCGGACAGCAGCAGCAATCTCCGGCTTCAGGCCTGCCATGCACAGCCCCACCAATGTCTCTTCTGGAACTCCATGGCACTGGTTGCCCAGTTTGAAGAACTCTGCACGGTAATCTGCTACTGAACCAGTCTGCTTAAGCTTAGCTAATTGTTCCGGCGCCCATCCCTCAGATTTACCGAACTGGTAACGCAGCTCCTCCTGAAACAGCGGCCATGTGATCAATGTTCCCACCGCCCCATACGACCTCTCCATCCATTCCCACCACTGCAGAGCTTCCCCCTCTAAATAGAAGGACGCCATATGCGCCTTCCTCTCCTCCGGTATGGGGTGGTTTCTGAACCACCGCTCTGTGTCATACAACCACAACCCAGCATCCTCCTGGCCGTTGAATTTGGGAAACTCAATGGTTGGGGGCTTGGCCCTAAAGACCATCCCATCAGTTCCATCATAAGCAGGGTAATATGAACCATACCTGTCAAAACCCGGATCGCCTAGCTGGTTCTGGTAGAGCGGTGATCCCCTTCCTCGACCAAAACTGCCCGCGGCTCCTCTCCCCATCGGACCCGTTCCATTTCCCCCTCCATACGACCCTTGCCACATATTTGGGTCCAGGCTGGCCGATCTGACCAACCCCTGCTCGACCCGGTTCGGTCAACTCCTGGGTTGACCCGGGTCAACCCGCCCTGGTTCGCCCTGCCCGATTCCGCCCCAACCTGGTTCGGCCGGCCCTTGCCCAACTCGGCGGTTCGGCCCGCCTCCTCGGCCCAAGCAGCCCTCCTGCACTGGCCCACTCCGCGCGGCCCGGCCCCCTATCGGCCCTGGGCCTAAATAATCTTCAGCTCCAGCTGGTCCGGCCCACGGTGCAGTCTGGCCCACCAAGCTAAGCTCTTCCTCGGCCTGCTCCGGTTCCATGTTCAGCCAGCCCAACCCTCTGGGTTCGTAATAAGAGCCCACAGTATCAGCTCGGCCCATTGGCCTAGTCGGCCCATACCCAGTCGGTTGGGCCCCGTTGTCATACCCTGGCATCTTGCCCTTGCCCTTGCGGGCCGCCAACTCCTGGGCCGTTGGCGTTGGTAGTAGCCCAGGCCCCCCGCTGCGCCCTTGCTGAACAGGGCCCACTCGCTCGCCCGTGACGGGCAGGTTGCCCCCACCGCCCGAGGTCACCACCTCCGCCGCCCCTGTCATCACGACAGCCGCCGCCGCTGGCGGAGCTTCCGCCACCACCATCGCCCCCTTTGGCGCCTCGCCTGCAGCCGCCGCGGCGCTCTGTTCCGAGCTCCCAACCGCCCGCGCGTCACCCGGCCCGCTCCGGTGACCACCCTCATCACCGCCGCCGCTGCCCTTCCTCGACCCTGTGGCGTGCGCTGCGGCCAGTGCCTCCACGATCCTCTGCAACTCTTCGAACCGCTTCCAAACTCTCCGGGACTCCTCCTCCTATACGCGCCGCTGCTCACTCTGTTCGCGCCGGACAGCATGCCATTCCTCCCGTTCTTCCTCGAACTCGGCCACCAGGCGATCCAACGTGGTCTGGATCCGCTCCAATTTCTCGGTCACGTCCACCAGCTCCCCGTCCCGTGGGTCGGAGGTCCCATGGCCGCCGCCGCCAGCTTCCGGCAGCCCGGTCGAGGCCGCGATCACGGCCTGCTCTTGCGCCGCCGCTTTGGCGGCCTTCTCAGCTGCTTGCATTGATTTCGTGGACACCATTGCACTCGTCGTTCTCTGTTTGTATTCGAACCCAAGAACGGGGCTCTGATACCAAATGATAGAGCTCCGGATTAAGCTCTACCGGGGAATTGGGGATTGGGGATCAGCTAGGGATTGATCCAAGGAATTGGGAGATTGAGGGTAGAAGGATTTAGGGGATTTGAGGTGAGAAGAAGAGGGGAATTGGGCTGCTGCCTGGCGGCAACTTTGGAGAAGAAGAAGAAGGGGTTGGCGGCCAGAATAGAGAGGGAGAGGAAGAGGGAAAACAAAATAGGAATTAGGTTTATTCTTGCTTGCCAAAACCTACGTAGACAATAGTTTAAATACCCAAAACACAATTACCGACTAACTACCCCAACTATTCTCCAATAACCAAATTAATCCCCAAACTAAACAATTCAAACCGACATTAATCTCAAATAATAAAACGTCTATCATTGCACCTCAGCTCCCTCCTAACGACTCGACTGGTATAATACCAACCCCCCTAATTCAAAACTGAACAACCCAACATATTCAAGTAGCCAGTTGCTAATTGGCTAAGCAAGAGCATTGGTTACTCCTATCCCACTGTGGCATTAACACAAACATCTGGCGAGCAATAATTTATCGGTGTATAAGCATTTCCCTGCGCTACATCTATTCAACTATCCTAATAATAGTCTTTTCTTTGAGGAAATCAGATCACAATCGCCAGTAAAATTCAACGAAGGTACCTTCAGAAGTCCGTCGGTAGCGGTGATCGGCCTAATTATGTGGCGGCGGCGATCCCACATAGGCAAATGTGTAATTGTCGGTGGAGAGAGAGAGCTGAGTAGAAAGTGCGCAGTTGGGAGATTCTCGATTTCGAGGTCGTTAACGGTTAACAAGAAACAGCGAGCTAGCCTAGCCGGCTGTTAATAGTGTGTTGTAATGTGATAAAAAAAACTGAATCGCTATTCGTCGCCCTAAAATTTAAATTTTATCGCCCTAAAAAGCAACAAATTGACATATTTATCCTTATCCCAATTTCAGATCTAGACACTAACCAAACAATCCTTATTCCCTTTCTCACCCCAATTCAAATCCTCCGCCGTCAATACTACGTCACCAAACTCTCTATTTGTGACAGATTGTTTGGTTCTTTTTCGTTGAATGATTGGTTTTCTCCTTCTTATTCCTTGTTGTTTCTTTAACTGTATTTTGTTATTTGGTGTAGTATATGAGTTTCATTTGGGGTTTAAGTGCTTGAAAAACAAATAAATGAACTAAGGGCATTGAAGTAAATGTAATTTAATTAGGGCGACAAATAAGGAATTTTAGGGCGACGAATAGCAATGCCCTAAAAAAAATAGTGTGTTGTAATAATTACTCTTGCGTACCTTTATTTAAACAAATTCACAATTCATCCTATCATGTTTTGTTATTGGATAATACTCCTTCATGGTTCATGGATCATAGTAGGGTGGAAATTGAGGTGGGTGTGGTTACTCGCCTCACATTTTGCGGGTAACTATACCCACAAATATAGAATTATGCTACCCACAACCTGCTCTGTGGTGAGTAGTTGTTAACCACTATCCACTGTGGGTTGGTGCGAGTTGGTTGTGGATACCCACAAAAAATCCATCACTAAATAAAATAATATGGTAATTAAATAGTGAAGTTGTGTTTCGTCTCACACAAAAACAAAAACATATATAAAAGAAATTTAATAAAGCGTTAAAAATAAATTATAAATCTCGAATACAAGAGGTTCGTTAGTGTAAATTCAGAAGAGATGGATTTGGAAGGAGATTTGAAGATAACGGAGAGGCGGAGTGATCTGTTACCAGACAAACATCGTTGCATGTCAACAACAACAAAACACAAAAGTGGTTCGATAAGTGGAGGCACCCGCTTTTAATGAATCGATTATTCTCCACTCTCGATTGTAGTATTGTAATGTTGGTGGCTAGTTGCATGTTCTGTTGTTCTTGAGTTCGTGGAGAAATGTAGAGGAGTTTGGGTATCGAGCTAACCTTTATCGATTATTCCCCTCTTCTAACGAATCGATTAATTTATCTGACTATATCTATGGACTTGGTTTTGTTATAAAATATAGGGCTAATACCACTAGGAAACCCGAACTATTAACTTTGTGTCATTTGTGTCCTAAAGTATTCGATATGACAATTGTGTCCTAAACTATTTCTCCGTTAGAGTTGACCGGCGTTGACCGTTAGTTTTTAACGAAAAATCCAGTAAGCGCTGATGTGGCATCTGAAGTGGAATTTATAATATTAATTTATAATTATTTTTCATATAAAATAAGAAAATTACAAATTTACAAAAATAAAACCCATCTCCATCGTCTTCTCCGACCTCTACCCTTCTCGTCCACCTTACACGACCTCTCCCTCTTCTCAAACCCTCATTTCCGCTACACACAAGTCGGCTAGGGAGCGACGACAAGCCCACAACCGAGCTTCAAGGAAACCCCGACGGTGGACAGTGGCGGTGAACCAAACCCTAAATTTTGGGGATTTTTTTCGTATTCGACGGTGGACAACGACGGTGAACCAATCCCTGCCTATGAGAGACACCTCTCCACTCTACCGCCGAACTCACAAAATCCCCAAGATGCCAATCCATTCTCACAAAGTCCCCTCCTCCGATGCATTCTCACATGCATCAGATATATGCCATCGAACGGGGCCTCGATAGTCGCCATACAGCCTGCTCCCAATTCACGGTGAACTGGTCTAAATCTGGGATTTGAGAGAAAAAAAAAAGGCTGCGAGATGGAAGAGATAATAGATGCAAATGTGCACCCAATCGCCAACTGAAGAGATTCACCTACTTAACAATGCCGCAAGCTTTGACCATGGAAGGCGGAACTATGGAAAATACCCTACCAAGATTGGATTTGATGACATCCAAGCTAATAAAGAGGACAATCTCCTGGGACAAGATTCGATTCGTCGTCGCCAACATCGCTGACATCGCCCAATCACAAGCCCCCTTCCCCTCCTTCTCTCCCCTGTTCCCGATCTCGTTGAGGAAATTAAAAATCGAAGCGGCGAGTGTGAGTGTGGAGATGGTAAGGTCAGCGGCGGCCATGGTCTCGAGAGACTCCCCTCTGTTTCTCCCTCTTCTTTCAAATTTCACTAATCCAATATCTCGAATCGGGTTGGGGGTGTGGTGGCGGGGAGGAAGAAGAAGATTCGGGAGCGAAGGTAGAGGAAAAAATAGAGAAGCTGGCGGAGGGAGGAGGAGCAGCTGGGCTGGAGAAGGAGTAGGTCACGACGGCGGGGAGGTGAGGAGCGACAAGTCAGGGGTCCGACTTGGTCGCTGGAGAAGGAGTAGATAATAATAGTAATAGTGAGAGTTTTTATTTTGTTCCTATTATGTTTATTTTTATATTTAATTTTTAATTTAAAATATGAGGTGTCAGTGACGTGGCAGCCACGTTTTTGCCACGTCAGCAAAAGTCAATGTCAAGTTGACCACCGTCCGGTCAACCATTATCTATAACGGTCAACGAAATCGTTAGAACATAAATGACATAAAACTATAATACTTTGGGACACAAATGTCATATCGAATACTTTAGGACACAAATGTCACAAAGTTAATAGTTCGGGTTTTCCAGTGGTATTAGCCCTAAAATAAACATATACCACATGGACAATGCTTATTTGATAAAAGTATCTCACACGAACATTGCGTATTGACTTGGTTATGTTTTATAGAATAAGTACGTATTTGATTTTAGTAGCTACCTTAATTCTTAATTAGTCTTCCAAGTTTCACAAACTAACATAACTAATGTGGTTAATATGGGTTTTGTGGGTAAACCGATGTGGGTAGTGGTTAACCACTAACCACAAAAATCAATATTTTGCTACCCACTATCCACAAATTATGGGTATGCATATCCACAATGTGTGCGGTTTGCGGGTTAAGCCGCAAACCAAATTTCCACCCTAGATCATAGACCATAGTATAGATTATCTAATCGTTGAACGTGTTTGCTTTGTTGTTCTTTTCCTAAATTTAGGAACTAAAGTTATAAGTTTCTTGAAGAGATAATTACACTACCATAAGCACTATCTCAGATGGAGAAATTTACATAATTACGAGTACATAAAGTAAATAAAAACACGAATAAAAAAACTATATCATATTCCAACAAGCGTTTATTGGTACTCTGAAATCATAAAAATAGCTCCTCACCAAAAAAATCCCACCAAACTCTATTAGTAAATGGTATAACCGATTCTTAACATGGTATTAGAGCATTCTGTGATCGAAAGGTCTCCTGTTCGAATCTCGAGGATCTCATAAGTTCTGTTAAGCACATAATGTCCGGACCTATGCAAATTTTAAGCCCACACATGACGGCTTTTGATTGAGGGATGTGTTAGTAAATGAAAAATGATCTACGATTGAATCTCTCCCAACAACTCGAGTTATTGAGATCAACTGGTTCTTAACAAACTCCCGCAGACTTGCCCTGAACTTTTTAACTCCATTTCTTTAACATTCTAGTTCATTCAGGTATGACTTTTACGAAAAACATTCTTGATAAATAATGAAAATTAAATACATTGAATAATAGAAAAAATGTTGTATTAATGTCAACATAATTTGAAACATTTGACACTATAAATACTCACATCAAGTCTCTTGTCATCCTTCAAGTATACTGAATTAAGGTACTGAACGTCTGCTTTAAATATTCGCTTAATTTTTTTTTTATTTTGACAAAAGATAATCATATATTGATCAAGAAAAAGTAGTTACACCCTGGACACCAGCCAGGCCCGGAAATCAAAAGAACGACTCATAGTCGGGAACAGAGAGAGGGATTTTCTAGCCACCAAATGGGCTACCCTATTGCTACGCCGACCTACAAATCTAACACTAAACCCAGGATTACCGGCAAAAATCTGAATGAGCTCATCTAACACAGCACCCAAGCGACTATCCCGAGCCTCCCTGAGATTGATTTTATCAATGATAATCTTTGCATCCCCTTCAAAAGTAATGTCCGCCGAACCGAACGACTGACACCACAGAACAACTTCCCGCAAAGAGACTAATTCCACTGCCAAGGGGTCATCAATCCATGAAAACTGCACCCCCTTCACCAACAAAACCTCCCGCTCCGGGGATAAAAGGACCAAACCTCCCGCCGAATGGGAACCCCTCCAGACAGCCCCATCCCACATGCATATAACTCCATGCCCCTCAACAGCCTCGTGGTAAGTGGGAGCAGCCTGGACCCCACAGGGGGCCCTATCTACCGAAAGCCGGACCCACTCCTCATACTGCTGCCGGAACTGGCGCATCAGGGCAGAAAACTCAAACCGCTTGCCTTCAAAGACAACCCAGTTGCGAGAACGCCAGATTCGCCAGAGGATAGCCACCACGACCATAAAATCATTAGGTTGATGGATCAAAGCCATCAGCCGTTTGAGGAAAAGGGTAAAAGTATGACGCGGGAGCCCTTCCCCTAAGTGAGCGAACCCAGCATAATCCCAAATGGCCCGTGCTACTGGACAGTCAAGAAAAAGATGTTCCATGGTTTCCGAGTCAGCCCAACACACCGGGCACCTGGGATGCACCGGAACCTTCTACTCAATAAGGGCCTCAGTAGTATGCAGAGTCCGATTGAGAATTTGCCAGAGAAAGACCTTTAGCTTATGAGGGATATTGGCTTCCCACAACCGAATCCAGCTCGCCCTATCCATCCAACTGACCACAGACTTCCAACCCCCCCGACGCTTATCAAGAGAGACTGCTAAATGATATGCCGACTTGACCGAGAATACTCCATCAGGGGAATCATGCCAAATTAACCTATCCTCAATCGACTGCCGTGGAAGAGGTATAGTTTTGATGGCCCTGCAAGTCGGTGGGTCAAACCATTGGCTAAGAAGCCAATCATTCCATCGCCCCTCCCCTTGACTGATTACCTCCTCAACCTTCAGGTCACCCTCCTCCGGTAAGACTCGAGGATTAAACCTAGGAGGATCCAACTGGAGGGAAGGAATCCAACTAGAATGGAGGAGCGAGGCAGTTTTCCCATTCCCAATTTGCCAACGCAAGCCCTTCTCCAACAAATCCCTACCATACAGAATGCTTTGCCACCCCCATGAAGGGCGAGAACGGGCAGTAGCAGTAAGAAACGAGCCCCCTGGGAAATATTTACCTTTATAGACCTGAGCCAGTAAGGATTGAGGTTCCATAAGAATACGCCAACCAATTTTGGCTAATAAGGCTTGATTAAATTGCTCAAAACGGCGGAACCCCATCCCACCATCATGCTTACTACGACACATATTTCGCCAGGACATCCAATGAATACGAAACGGGTCCACAGCATCCCCCCACCAGAAACGGGCTACATGCTTGTCCAGTATCCGACACAAAGAGACCGGAAGCTTGAAGTAGGACATCACATGCAACGGCAAAGCCAAAGCGATAGATTTTATCAAGGTCTCTTTTGCCGCCCAAGACAGAGTCTTTTGCTTCCACCCTTGAAGGCGATCTAATAATTTCTCCTCAAGATACCGGAATGTGGCCATTTTTGAACGCGCGAACAAAGTGGGTTAATCGCTTGCTTTAAAACATAGCATTTTGATGATATACAATGTCATGCTTATTGAAAATAAAGTATTGGACTTAAATAAACTTACCTTAAACATAAACATGAGCGGATGAAGTAACTTAATCAAATGATATAACTAATTATTAACTAACCCGATTGAATCAACGCACCTTATGATTCAAGTAGATATACTTGAGTTAATCTCTAGTCACAAACATGAGAAGTACAAATCGCAATTATAACTCATTTATGCTCCAAGATTAGTTCAAACTTGTCCTTACTTAGCTTGCACCTTTCATCCCCAACCGCAATCCATTTAGCTTGTTGATTTGCTATGAGTCCGACATCGTGGTAATTAGGGCTGTCAATCGGTCGGTTTCGATTTAATCGAAAATCAATTTCTCGGTTATCGATTAAACCAAGACCACGCTGACAGATACCGGCCACTGACTGCCTAGCATGCCACGCTTAGCCGTCAATCGACCGATTAATTTTGGTTTCGGCTCGGTCTAACCGTGGTAACCGTGAAACAACCCTAACTCTCCAAAAACTACACAAAAACCTGAAAAACTAACCCTCCAAAAACCCACACCCCTCGCCCAAACCCATTTCCCCAATCTCCATCCCCAAATCCCTATCACTAACTCAAACCGCAAGCTCTGCAATCCCATCTAATTGAATTGCAAAAACACCAAAAATTACATCTAATACTAACAAATTTAAACTTGCATATTCAATTTCAAACTTCAATATCCAAAGGAGAAGGGCGGCGGCGACTCGCCAGACGCGACTGGGGATACTAGCGCCGGCGGTGGAGGTCAGAGAGGGGGAGGGAGAAGGCGGAGGAGGCCTCGGGCTCTCGGTGACCGGGATACTGGCGCCGGCGCGGAGGGAGGTCAAGGCGGGGAAGGAGATGTGGCCGTGTGGGGGAGGTCTCGACGCGAACGCAAGGGGTGTCGCCGGGGTCGAGCCGTCGAGGGGGTCGCCAGGGGATCGTGGAACGTCGCCGCGCATCGCTGGGAGACGGCAGTCGGCGATGGAACGCGGGGTCGATGGAAGGGTGGAGGCGGTGGGGTGAGGGAAATTGTTGAGAGAGGCTACTGCTTCTTCTTCTTCTTCTTCCTGGATTTGTAAATTTTTTTAGATTCAAGATGTGAGAATGGCGATGAATATGGACAGGATTTTGGGGAAGGTTAAGTGGGTGTCGGTTGGGCCCGGTTAGTCGGATAACCACGGTTAACCATCGTCGGTTACTCGGTCAACCGACCCCTTCCTTTTACCATCCGACCACCGGCCATCAAGGTAACCGGTCGGTTTTCAATTAGCTGGTAATCGACGATTTTCGGTTAAAATCGATGGTTACCCGCTAACCGGAAACCGAAATGCCAACCCTAGTCGTAACTACATACATATGAGGTATCCTAAATAATTAGAAGCCCAAGTGGCGACCTTAATTTAGTTCACCTCCTTAAAGTTCACAAAGTTAAAGAAAACTTCATGTGAGGAACTTAATTATTATTGTCTATGTTTGGCTTGGCTTTTAGAAGTGCTTTTCGACTTTAAAAGCTGAAGCTGGGCCAAACACTTCTAAAAGCTCGGCTTTTGAAAAGTTGAAAAGCGCTTTTGTATAACATAAAAGCAGAAGCTCCGATTTTGAACTTCTGCGAAAGCTGTTTTGAAAATACAAGAATATCCTTACCATATTTTAATTTTATTTCAGAAAATATAATTTTCCTTCATTTATATCATTTTAAAAATAAATAAATTATAAAATCATATTAATTAATATAAAAGAAATCTAACAAGATCTAATTTGACTACTTTTTATTGTTTAGAATTTTTATTCATATTTTATATTATAAGTCCTTTATAGTCATTTTACACAAACTCTCATATTAAAAAAACACTTCTAATAGTTTTATAATCAAACACTCAACTACTTTTTTCGAAAGTACTTATTTAAAAGCACCAGTCAGAAGCTAGTTTTGCAAAAGCTACCGCAGGGCCAAAAGCTACCGCAGGGCCAAGCTAAACTATTATGTGATTCATATCAAATTATACCTGTGTGATTTCCAAGATGGTTTGGGCTTATACTAAATGAAAAATGTACAATTTTTTGGTCCACTAAACACCATAGCATGGAGAATTTTCTTTTACCTTCTGTTTATGGTATCTGAAATCACAAATAAATCCTCACCAATGTAAAATCCCACTAAACACCATAGCATGGAGAATTTTTTTTTTTTTTTTTTTTTTACTCAGATACGATACAAAGGGAGCTCTCCAAACATCTCGACGAACGGCAAGTTAACTCTCTATTTGAAACATTTGGCATCGAGGAGGGCCTCTCCCTCGAACGGTTCCGCATCTTCAATCATCTGGCTGGCGCGCTCCTTCTGTGCTTCATCGGATATGTCGACCTTCTTCCATTCATACAGCTCCATGTCGTAGCACTCGTCGATTATAAACTGAGGGATCTCTTGTCCGCGGAAAAGCCACAGCCCCTTCACCTTGAATGGTGGTGTGGACCCAATTATGAGCATCTTCCCAAACGCATACTTGCGAGCCAGATCCATCCTCTGGAGGAACCCGCCAACCTTGTTCAGAGTAACGAAGGAGACTGTGTTCTCGTCGTTGTACTTGTAGTCACAGAACCACAATGAGTATCCCTGGGGATCATACATGTCCCAGAAGCCTACAAAAACAAAACCATGAGTACTTTCTTTCACTTCAACCCTTAACCAGAGGATACAGATTCTGAAAAATGTATATACCTTTGATTGCCACCTCGCGGAAGTTGGACTTTGTGTTGGAGTACAGCCTCTTCCAGTCATCCAGAACCATCGGGCTTGGTGGCAGCAGATCGAGAGGGTTCTTTGCTTTCGGCTTTGGGGCTGCCTCTTCCTCTCCTACTGCAGCAGCTTCTGTCTTGGGAGGCTCTTTCTCCTTTTTCACTTCCTTCTTAGGCTCCTCTTTGGGTTTCGCCTTTTCCTTCGTCTGCACAGGCTTTTTACCGGACTCGACAGGAGGAACCGACTCAGTTTGTTTCACTTCACCCAATACCTTCTTGAAATTTGGTTGATTAACCAAGGTCCAGAAGTATCTCTCAACATGGGGGAACTCAGAGGTAAAGCTCTTTGTCATGATCCTAGAGAATCCCATGTAAAGATTGCAGGTGAGGATGATGTCTGCCAAGGTAACAGAATCCCTAACAAGGTAAGTGTTTGAAGCAAGGTATTTGTTCAATGCATCAAGACCCCTCTTCAGTGCGGAAATGGTAGCTTCCTCAGCCTTCATTTACAATAAGATGAATAGTAAGTATGTACCAAGGTAATATAAACATATACAAATATATAAACAACCAGAATCAGTCAAGAATCGCAACTGGTATCATAATTTCATTTGAGATTTAGTCAGGAAGAGAAGGTTTTGGATAGAAAAGCTGAAAGAACTAAAATCAAGAGAAACAGTGTAGGACAAATAACTCACAGGGGGAAGGTATGCAGCACGACCATATCGTGGTCTCAGCCAACCACCAATATTGGCATCAATCTCCAGTGTCGCGAAGTCGATCCACTGCTCAATATGGGCCTATTTATTGAACAAAGTAGAGTAAGATGACTTGTGGTTATATGCAGGCAGATATGAAATAACAAAAGACACTGTAGTGAGTGAAGAGCTTATCAGAAAGGTCTTTACATAATCAATGAGTGAACTGCCATAAAGAGAGTTGTCAGCCTTCAACTTGGTAACTGCAGCAAACAAATGGAGAGTAAGAAACTTCCCCAGCATCAATTGGACATGCATTCGACGTCCGTATACAAGGTCAATCTTACCATATCGAGCAATAGCATTGCTCTCGAAGATAGGACCCTCAGGCGTCTCCAAGACCGGAACCTAAAATCACCAATTCATGTTCCTTAAAAAGCCACATGAAAAAGAAATCTAGCACACTACGTAATTCAAAGTTGAAGGATTCCAGAAAAAAAAAAACTGACTTTTTACCTTGCCGATGGGGTTCAACTTTAGGAACTCGGGGGTCTTATTGGACACTCCCATCTCGAAATTCTCAACCAAATCAACTTTCACCCCAGAATACTCGGCCACAATCAGTGTCTTGAAGGCATTCTTGTTAGTCTTCCCTGCATGCAATACCTGTAACAAAGAGATCAAATCGCAGCCTCGAGGTTATACTCGATTTTCATAGAACTCCAATTGGAATCCACGACACAATCTAAAATCCCGAAACTAAAAACCTTCAACTCACCAGTGGCGCCATTGCTTTGCCCGAAAAAGATAAACTCAAAGACGAACTGGGAGCTCTGGAAACAAGAGTGTGAAACGATCAGAAAGTACTCAAGAGGAAATCAAACGATTCCACGTAGTGGGAGAGAATAAATTGACAAGGTAAAGCGAACTACAACTCTCAATTTATGAACTCAATTAGAATACCACCCAGAGAGCAATCAAACCTAATACAGTATATGGGAAGTCAGAGTCGTTAACTGAATTGCAGCAAAAGATCAAAACTCCTTTGTTCAATTCAAGCATACTATCATGTCTATATTTGAGATCACTTAGTAATCAACAGAAATTCAATCGAATTAGCCGAGCTTAGTACAGTACCCAGCATGAACAAGTGGACTTACTTTGAAATCCGTAAGAGAGAGAGACGGGAGAAGAGAAGGAGCAACGGAGGTCGTGACCGGAGGTCGGACCGCTTGCTTCTCAGCTCGCCGACGGAGCGGGGAAGGGCAGTGGCCGAAAGGAGATGGTCGAGGTTCGGGAGTCGGCGGGGAGTGGGGCGCAGAAGGTACAATGAAAGTCGAAACCCTTTCTACCAAAAAAAAGTTGAAACCCTAGCTTTCGGTGGACATAATTTATTTTTGGTAAATACAATATATTAGCCACAATTATTATGAAACAGAGAATTATAACTATAATTATGAGAATTCAAATTATTAGCCATAATTATTGTTTCGGGTCAAGATATGGCTAATTGTTCGTTACTGTTATTGAGTTTTTAACGGAGAAGGCCACGGCAGAAGCCACGTTAGAATGCTTTTAATTTATAACTTTAAAACATAAAAGTTTAGTCAGTATTACTAACGAAATTGTTAACAGATAGTTAAAGTTTTGCTAATAATTTGAATTTCCATAGTTATGGCTATAATTTCCCGCTTCATAATAGTTGTGGCTAATATATTGTATTTACCCTTTATTTTTCACTAGCACAGGACCCGGCCCGTTGGCCGGAATAATTTTGTCGAGAAATATGATATATAATAATATATGATTTGAAATGCATAATTCTATCTTAGTTATGCACATAACATATTTGAAAGTGATCCAAGCATTCATAATGTGTTTAGACCAAAATATAATATAAGTATTAATTATAATTATTAAATGAACAAAGAAATAAATATAACTAATTGTCATTCATTACTTAAATAAACCATATAGTTGATATTAGAGTTGTTTCTCATAATACATACATAATCAACCTTTAAGATGAAAGAAAATGTCTCTCGTAGAGTTTAGTATGTCCTTTAAGTTTTTTCCAATAGAGAGCGTTTTTTTACCACACCGTTGGTAATGAATCTGAAGTTGCTTGATTTGAAATATATAGGACATGATACTAAATTGTCGCTAATAGTTAGTTGGACAATATGTTGTGTATGGACTTCTCAAATTATTCCCAGATCGCATACATGTCTAGCAACATTGTAGTAATTTTCATGCAACAAATATTTTTTTCATGAAATAATTCAATTAATAAAAACGTATGAAAATCATATTACATGAAATATATGTTACTCATTAAGTTGATGAATGAACGAGTGTATAAGTAACATACATTTATTTTAAAAATATAGAAGTTGCAAAGTATCTTTTGGGTTGAATGAGATCGCATATTCTCATTATCGCTAACTGACTTATGTTTTTTTGCAATAGATAGTTCAAAATGTGTCTTAAAACTTTTTTACCTCGTAAAAGAATTGTTTGACCAAATGATTAGAACAATATAAAAAAATTTGGTAGTATAGTATTTTATACTGAAATCATAAGTAATTATGGTTCTTACTAAATCTCTTCTCGAGACGTAGAGTTGGTAATACCGATCTACTTTAGTGGATCATATTGATGTAGCAAAAGTTTCTGATTTTGATGAATTGGAAACATGCCTTTTCAATTTCTATTTACCTAGTTCATATCTTTCTTTCGTGTGTGCCGGGGTGTAATTCGATCTCTTCAATCTCAGGATACCACCTAAATAACTGCGGCCAGAGAGTAAAATAGGCCGGGAAGAAAGAGTTTGAGGTTGGGTTGGACGACATACATCTTGGGACTCCATGGACCAAGATCTGCTTTCACTATATAGGCAATACCGATCTAATTTAGTGGATCATATGGATGTAGGAAAAGCTTCTGATTTTGATAAATTGGAAACATCTCTTTTCAATTTCTATTTACCTAGTTCATATCTTTCTTTCGTGTGTTCTGGGGAGTATTTCGATCTCTTCAATCTCAGGATACCATCTAAATAACTGCGGCCAGAGAGTCAAATTGGTCGGGAAGAAAGAGTTTGAGGTTGTGTTGGAGAATAGTTGATGTGGCATTACCGGGTAAGACGAAAATGAGTTCCGGTCGACTCTCTGGTTTCAAACCTTGGTTCAGATGCGAACCTTTCCTGTTAAGGTTTTGTCCATTCGCTCCTTTAATACCTATACCTATTGGTTGAGTTAGTACCATACTTGGATGTCTGACTACAGAGAATAGGGTCTTTGTCTTCAACTTCAATAGGGCTAAAAAAATTGCAAAACCTCTTTTGAATCAACCTAACCCTCTATCAAGGGTGTATAGCTCATCACGTATCGATTTAGCCTATGGTGTGAAGTTTTATGGTTGAACCGCCAGTACGTACGATCTTTCAATTCGAACTTTAAATAAAAAATCACTAAAATATTGACATTATCAAATACCCTTAAATCTCATAAATTACCATAATCGTATTAAGAAAAAAATCATCCAAATGATACTATTGATTCACGATTTTAAGGGGTCGTTTGGAAGTTGAGATTGTTAAATAGATGTTTTGTTGTGAATGCATCTATAATATTATATATGTATTGTCGGATTAGATGCATTGTGTATGTCATTTAAGCTAAAAGTTGAGACAAAACAATCTCAACTCAACTATCTCAACAATCACAACTAAAAGTTGAGATATAACAATCACTCATTTTGAGTGATCGTTTTTGTCTCATCACATATGTAATCCATGTATTGTTTCCACTAAAAAATAAAAAATGATGCATTCTAAACAATACATTATAGTGACAATCTCAACAAAATAATCGCAACTTTCAAACGACCCCTTAATTGAAATGGAAAAATCTATCAAATATAATGACATCTCCTAAAATAAATCAAGACTCAACAGGGCCAAAAATACCCACTAAGCAAAGCAGAAGGTCAATTATTTCACACTACCTCATTTCCCCCCTCTTTTAAATGTGTCCTCTCACTCTCTCTTATGTCCCGTTCACTTGCCATTTTGTTTTCTGTTTTCTGGTGTGACAACAAAAATTAAAAAAAAAACAAATGGTAAGAAACGTGTTCACTTGCAATTTCATTATCGTTGGAAAAAAAATCATAGGGAATAAAAGAGGCAACTGGCGAAAACAATAAAAGATCGTTTGCAGGAAAATGATGGACGAATTTTCCTCGTTGCCCAACGGGTTACGTCCCCATTCCTTTTAATGAGCCTAGCGTTGGAATCCCTCGGCCACTTTTTTTTTCTTCCTTTTGTTCACTTAGACCAACGGTGTCGTTTTGCTAACCCCAGCTCCCATCGTTCTTCTCCCAGCCTCCCCCAAACTCGACCTCCCCTTCGAACGAAGCTGCTACAATCCGCCTCTTCTTCCTCTAACGGAGGGAGATAAGATAGATCCAGCGAGCTCTTTCTCCAATCGGCGAAGCGCAAGCCGGCGAGCTCCTTCTCCAGTCGGCGAACGATGGGTTCAAGGGCGGAGCTACTCAGAGACTAGGGTGGGCCCCGACCCACCCGGGAATAGTCTCGGCCCCTAGGACCGTAAGAATATTTAGATAAAATTTGGATAAGTAGTTCTCGACTTATACATTGTATCATATAACAATTTGTAGTCTAATGGTAGCTAAGCTAAACTTTTAGCCTAAAACAAACAGGTTTGATCCACAAGAACCTCATTTTTGCTTTAACTTCTTTTTGGACTTTATTATCTTAATTCTCCTCCACAAGGTTCTGGACCAAAGCAAACAAATAGCCACTCATTTTCATTCTTTTTGTTACTTTAATCCAGCTACAAATGAAAAAATCAACCTCTGTTTAGTTCACTTGGGATTTTTATCTCTTTATACAAATTATATGATCTATTTTTTTATCTATGTCGGAATGAACAGAAATATTAGTGTCAAAGGAATTTTATTTTGTTGATAGGTTGATTTGTCTTCTTCTAACTCTTCCAAATTTCTAAAGCTACATGTGATCGTGCATGTTTTTAGGTATAAAGATAGTGAAGAATAGATTGTGAAACAAAATAAATGATGAGTTTCTTGTTAATGATTTAGTTATTTATATTGAAAGAAAGATAGCTAAATTTTTTAGTTCATATGCTATTTTGAGAGATTTCAATGATCTCAAAGAATGTTGTTGAATTTAAAAATAATTATTTTATTTTTATTTACATTTATCTATTTTCGGCCCGCCTAGTCTCGAAATCCTGGCTCCGCCCCTGGATGAGTTTACTTTGAGATGCCAGCAGGTATTACCCATCCACCGCCTAAGTTAATCATTCTCAAGGGCTTATATCATCGAGGTCATATCAACAGAGGTGTGGATTAGGCTGGATGAGACGGTGATGGCTACACTTGCCCAGCAGATCCTCGATAATCCTCTTTGTTTTTCCGTTTGTTCTTCCATATCTCTCTCTCTCTCTCTCTCTCTGAGCTTTGTATCTCACCACTCTCCCCCTTTCCCTTCCTCTTTCTTCCCATTGCCTGGAATCGAGAGAAACCTAGAAACATCTCAATTACTTATCCTATTTTGCGTTCGAAATGCTTCTTCTCCATTCACAGTCGATAGTGTGAATTAAAGGACATGAAACCTGGCGAACAGATGGCCACTTATTCCTCTCAAATGGTGCATTTCTTCCCACTGCCTGGAAAATTCCTCTGCTTTTCAAATCTTTGCTAAGTGTATGCTTACAATTGAAGAAGATAAGCCAAATTATTATATCTTATAGAAAGTAATTAATTGTGAAATCAAACTGCAAGTAACAGTGATTCAAACATTAAATATTAAATTGTATGTGTGGTACAATTTAGATAGAATACATGTGTGTAGCCAAAATATGGGTCTTCGTGACATATATAGTAATTTTTTTGTGACAAATCTACACATAATATAAAGATAAATTTGGCGCTATGACGAAAAAGGGATTCATAGAATCACTCTCAGGCCACGAAATTTAAAAGGAGACTCTCATTTTCCAATTTTATCATTATATTATGTGTATATTTGGTCAAAAAATGACTATACTCGTTACAAAGGTCTATGTTTTGGTTACACTTCTGTATTTTGTCTGAACTTATTTAAACTAAACTACACATACAATTTAATATTAATGTTTGAACCAATGTTACTTGAGTTTCGATTTTAGAACTAATGTCTTTCTATGAAATATAAATAACTTAAGATAAACTATAAATATAGAAGCATTCAAGTCAGTTTGGGGGTTGTGGACACACTTAAGCAATAAATAAAATGAATATTCTTTCAAGTTCTTAGCGCCATGTCGTGGGTCAGCCATCAATCGTGGGGCAGGCTAAGCATTGGTCCCATCCAGAAAGATAGTTCATCAAGAAGAATATTCTTATTAAGACTGTTCCCCCCTACGATCAATCCTACTGATTTGTGGGATCTTTGAGTAGTATTCCCAAGCTGGAGAAGTGGGAGATAGCAGGTCGTATCACCAAACATATTCCTAGAGTTTAATAAT